TTTGCCGCAACGAAGGCCCTTTACTGGAACGAAGGCCCTTTGCCGAAACGAAGGCCCTTTGCCGAAACGAAGGCCCTTTGCCGAAACGAAGGCCCTTTGCCGAAATGAAGGCCCTTTGCCGCAACGAAGGCCCTTTGCCGCAACGCGCATACGCTCAGAAATTGATGGACTATCACGTCCTCTTTCGCCCAATCCCTGCTAGTCACTCACACTCTTAGAGTTTTCTCTTACAATCTAAGATCCGTTGGCTGTCGTGGTCGAATCTACCCTTTACTACTGTGATGATGGAAGTGGGGGGGCAGGAGGGGAGTGATAAGAGAGGGGGGTGAGAGGAGTCATAAGAGGGGAGGGGTGGAAGGGTGGTGATAAGAGAGCGGGGGGAGGGGGGAGATAAGAGGGGGGCAAGGTGAGGGAAGATAGGGTGCGGGGAGGATGAGGTGAGGGGCGAGGGGCGGAAGAGATGACCTGCCATGGAACTGGGGTGTGGTGGAGTGGATGGGGGGGAGTGGGGGATGAAGAGAGAGGGGATGAGGGGAGAGCGGGACGACAGTGAAAGATGGTAATGACTGGGGATGAGGAGAGAGGGGGAAGGGATGGGTGGTGCAGAGAACGAAAGACAAGGGAGTAGGAGGAAACAAGCGACAGAGAATCACCTGGTGCGGGACACGGACACACTTCAAGTGCAACAGAGAAGCACCTGAGATGCAAAACAGAGAAGCACCTGAGATGCAAACAGAGAAGCACCTGAGATGCAAACAGAGAAGCACCTGAGATGCAAACAGAGAAGCACCTGAGATGCAAACAGAGAAGCACCTGAGATGCATACAGAGAAGCACCTGAGATGCAAACAGAGAAGCACCTGAGATGCATACAGAGAAGCACCTGAAATGCAAACAGAGAAGCACCTGAGATGCAAACAGAGAAGCACCTGAGATGCAAACAGAGAAGCACCTGAGATGCAAACAGAGAAGCACCTGAGATGCAAACAGAGAAGCACCTGAGATGCAAACAGAGAAGCACCTGAGATGCAAACAGAGAAGCACCTGAGATGCAAACAGAGAAGCACCTGAAATGCAAACAGAGAAGCACCTGAGATGCAAACAGAGAAGCACCTGAGATGCAAACAGAGAAGCACCTGAGATGCATACAGAGAAGCACCTGAGATGCAAACAGAGAAGCACCTGAGATGCAAACAGAGAAGCACCTGAGATGCAAACAGAGAAGCACCTGAGATGCATACAGAGAAGCACCTGAAATGCAAACAGAGAAGCACCTGAGATGCAAACAGAGAAGCACCTGAGATGCAAACAGAGAAGCACCTGAGATGCATACAGAGAAGCACCTGAGATGCAAACAGAGAAGCACCTGAGATGCATACAGAGAAGCACCTGAAATGCAAACAGAGAAGCACCTGAGATGCAAACAGAGAAGCACCTGAGATGCAAACAGAGAAGCACCTGAGATGCAAACAGAGAAGCACCTGAAATGCAAACAGAGAAGCACCTGAGATGCAAACAGAGAAGCACCTGAGATGCAAACAGAGAAGCACCTGAGATGCATACAGAGAAGCACCTGAGATGCAAACAGAGAAGCACCTGAGATGCATACAGAGAAGCACCTGAAATGCAAACAGAGAAGCACCTGAGATGCAAACAGAGAAGCACCTGAGATGCATACAGAGAAGCACCTGAGATGCAAACAGAGAAGCACCTGAGATGCAAACAGAGAAGCACCTGAGATGCAAACAGAGAAGCACCTGAGATGCAAACAGAGAAGCACCTGAAATGCAAACAGAGAAGCACCTGAGATGCAAACAGAGAAGCACCTGAGATGCAAACAGAGAAGCACCTGAGATGCAAACAGAGAAGCACCTGAGATGCAAACAGAGAAGCACCTGAGATGCATACAGAGAAGCACCTGAAATGCAAACAGAGAAGCACCTGAGATGCAAACAGAGAAGCACCTGAAATGCAAACAGAGAAGCACCTGAGATGCAAACAGAGAAGCACCTGAGATGCAAACAGAGAAGCACCTGAGATGCATACAGAGAAGCACCTGAGATGCAAACAGAGAAGCACCTGAGATGCATACAGAGAAGCACCTGAGATGCAAACAGAGAAGCACCTGAGATGCAAACAGAGAAGCACCTGAGATGCAAACAGAGAAGCACCTGAGATGCAAACAGAGAAGCACCTGAGATGCATACAGAGAAGCACCTGAGATGCAAACAGAGAAGCACCTGAGATGCATACAGAGAAGCACCTGAAATGCAAACAGAGAAGCACCTGAGATGCAAACAGAGAAGCACCTGAGATGCATACAGAGAAGCACCTGAAATGCAAACAGAGAAGCACCTGAGATGCAAACAGAGAAGCACCTGAGATGCAAACAGAGAAGCACCTGAGATGCATACAGAGAAGCACCTGAGATGCAAACAGAGAAGCACCTGAGATGCATACAGAGAAGCACCTGAAATGCAAACAGAGAAGCACCTGAGATGCAAACAGAGAAGCACCTGAGATGCAAACAGAGAAGCACCTGAGATGCAAACAGAGAAGCACCTGAGATGCAAACAGAGAAGCACCTGAGATGCAAACAGAGAAGCACCTGAGATGCATACAGAGAAGCACCTGAGATGCAAACAGAGAAGCACCTGAGATGCAAACAGAGAAGCACCTGAGATGCAAACAGAGAAGCACCTGAGATGCATACAGAGAAGCACCTGAAATGCAAACAGAGAAGCACCTGAGATGCAAACAGAGAAGCACCTGAAATGCAAACAGAGAAGCACCTGAGATGCAAACAGAGAAGCACCTGAGATGCAAACAGAGAAGCACCTGAGATGCATACAGAGAAGCACCTGAGATGCAAACAGAGAAGCACCTGAGATGCATACAGAGAAGCACCTGAGATGCAAACAGAGAAGCACCTGAGATGCAAACAGAGAAGCACCTGAGATGCAAACAGAGAAGCACCTGAGATGCATACAGAGAAGCACCTGAAATGCAAACAGAGAAGCACCTGAGATGCAAACAGAGAAGCACCTGAAATGCAAACAGAGAAGCACCTGAGATGCAAACAGAGAAGCACCTGAGATGCAAACAGAGAAGCACCTGAGATGCATACAGAGAAGCACCTGAGATGCATACAGAGAAGCACCTGAGATGCAAACAGAGAAGCACCTGAGATGCATACAGAGAAGCACCTGAAATGCAAACAGAGAAGCACCTGAGATGCAAACAGAGAAGCACCTGAGATGCATACAGAGAAGCACCTGAGATGCAAACAGAGAAGCACCTGAGATGCAAACAGAGAAGCACCTGAGATGCAAACAGAGAAGCACCTGAGATGCAAACAGAGAAGCACCTGAAATGCAAACAGAGAAGCACCTGAGATGCAAACAGAGAAGCACCTGAGATGCAAACAGAGAAGCACCTGAGATGCATACAGAGAAGCACCTGAGATGCAAACAGAGAAGCACCTGAGATGCAAACAGAGAAGCACCTGAGATGCAAACAGAGAAGCACCTGAGATGCATACAGAGAAGCACCTGAAATGCAAACAGAGAAGCACCTGAGATGCAAACAGAGAAGCACCTGAAATGCAAACAGAGAAGCACCTGAGATGCAAACAGAGAAGCACCTGAGATGCAAACAGAGAAGCACCTGAGATGCATACAGAGAAGCACCTGAGATGCAAACAGAGAAGCACCTGAGATGCATACAGAGAAGCACCTGAGATGCAAACAGAGAAGCACCTGAGATGCAAACAGAGAAGCACCTGAGATGCAAACAGAGAAGCACCTGAGATGCATACAGAGAAGAACCTGAAATGCAAACAGAGAAGCACCTGAGATGCAAACAGAGAAGCACCTGAAATGCAAACAGAGAAGCACCTGAGATGCAAACAGAGAAGCACCTGAGATGCAAACAGAGAAGCACCTGAGATGCATACAGAGAAGCACCTGAGATGCAAACAGAGAAGCACCTGAGATGCATACAGAGAAGCACCTGAGATGCAAACAGAGAAGCACCTGAGATGCAAACAGAGAAGCACCTGAGATGCAAACAGAGAAGCACCTGAAATGCAAACAGAGAAGCACCTGAGATGCAAACAGAGAAGCACCTGAGATGCAAACAGAGAAGCACCTGAAATGCAAACAGAGAAGCACCTGAGATGCAAACAGAGAAGCACCTGAGATGCAAACAGAGAAGCACCTGAGATGCAAACAGGGAAGCACCCGAGATGCATACAGAGAAGCACCTGAGCATCAATCAGAAGAGCACCTGAGATGCAAACAGAGAAGCACCTGAGATGCAAACAGAGAAGCACCTGAAATGCAAACAGAGAAGCACCTGAGATGCAAACAGAGAAGCACCTGAGATGCAAACAGAGAAGCACCTGAAATGCAAACAGAGAAGCACCTGAGATGCAAACAGAGAAGCACCTGAGATGCAAACAGAGAAGCACCTGAAATGCAAACAGAGAAGCACCTGAGATGCATACAGAGAAGCACCTGAGATGCAAACAGAGAAGCACCTGAGCATCAATCAGAAGAGCACCTGAGATGCAAACAGAGAAGCACCTGAGATGCAAACAGAGAAGCACCTGAGATGCAAAACAGAGAAGCACCTGAGATGCAAACAGAGAAGCACCTGAGATGCAAACAGAGAAGCACCTGAAATGCAAACAGAGAAGCACCTGAGATGCAAACAGAGAAGCACCTGAGATGCAAACAGAGAAGCACCTGAGATGCAAACAGAGAAGCACCTGAGATGCAAACAGAGAAGCACCTGAAATGCAAACAGAGAAGCACCTGAGATGCAAACAGAGAAGCACCTGAGATGCATACAGAGAAGCACCTGAGATGCAAACAGTGAAGCACCTGAGATGCAAACAGAGAAGCACCTGAGATGCATACAGAGAAGCACCTGAGATGCAAACAGAGAAGCACCTGAGATGCAAACAGAGAAGCACCTGAGATGCAAACAGTGAAGCACCTGAGATGCAAGTGAGAAGCGGGTGGCATCGGGCCAAGGCGCAACCAACAGACGCCTGTCCTCGCAGCCACCTGGCGGCATCTGATTGGCCCAGATGTCTCGCTGCGCCTCCCTCGTCCGTGCTAAGCTGTCAGCAGCTGATCCCCGCACCTGGGGGCAGCATGAGGCAGCATGACACGAGGGCAGCATGACACGAGGGCGGTAGGACACGAGGTCATCACACACATCACAAGAGAGGGGTTGGTTAGGTGGTAGTGTGGCAGACCTTGTATCCACGAGGAAGGGAACACGTGAGAAGCCAGACACGCATTCAAAGGACGTGTGATAAACGGATGTTTGTGATCCAGGTGAATGAAATGTGACTTTACCCAGGGTGTCTGTGGCGAGCAGTGGCAGCACGAAGGCTGAACGGCCCATTTAGGCGGATTCCCTCCGCCAGGTCCGCCCCGCTCTTCCGCCATGAAGCGGAAGAACGACACCTGCGCGCAGTCCTCCAGGTGCGGGGCAGGCGGAACGGACGCGGGGAGCTCGAGCGTGGGCGGGGGAAGCGGGGAGCGCGGGTGGTCCTTGAGACCGTACGCGTCGGCCCACGCGCGATATAATGACATGCCGTGCTCCATGCCCGCCTCGCCCGCCAGCGCTCTCGCGTGCTTCACGGCGAGCGCCCATCGCACCAGGAGTGCGACGGTCGTTAGCGAGTTCAGACGACGCAGACGTGCATCGCGGTGCGACGAGAGGCGGCGCGTGTGCATGGGAAAGGTCAGCTCTTGAGCTGACTCTAGAGTCACCACGCTGCTTGGGAAAGTGCGTTGGAAGTAAAAGTGCTGCGTCCGATGCGATGCGATGCGATGCGATGCGGCGAGGGGGTCGTTCGGGAGAAACCGTAAGGCAGCAGTCAGCGAAGCAAGGTGAGAAATGTGGAACGAAGTTTGCTGGTTTGGAAAGCGGGGAGACACATTCGTTCTTCCAGTCTGAATGCATCCGTGTCTGTATCCGCGTCAGCGACTCCTAAGAAAACTCGACATGAACCATCAGAAGCTTGCCTGCCTCCACCTGATGTCAGAAACGTGCCCGACCAGAATATTGGCACCCTGATGTCGCTTGAACCTGGTTTCGTTTCTCTGGAAAACTCTAGCAAAAACTGTTCCCACATGTCAGCAAACGGAACCTTATTGCAATCTGAACTGCAACCATGAGTGAAACGCCCCCTGCGAGTTTGCTCGTTTCCCTTTCAGTTCAATTTTAAGTCGCATTCTGCCCAAATCTTCCTGCTGTTCTCGGATGAGGTCTGTCCGTGCGTCATCCAACATCCTTGCAGCCACACGAAGTCTCGCGAAGGATCGCGAATCTGCACGAACAGCATCTCGACAAGCTGATTGGCTTCGCGATTCGCAGCCATTCATATCCCCCTACCAGTCTCAGCTGTTCTACTCACCGTCGCGTACTGTATCAATTTTAGTGGTCAGTCTGACTATTTCGTGGCGCTTTCTCCTCGCTCCTCCACCCTGCTCACACCTGCCTCGACTGCTTATCCTCGCAGCTGCACGTTCTCCGCTGAGCTTCGAAGAAAACTGCAGATCGATCTCCGAGTCTGTCCGCCGTCACCGCGCGCTTTCGTTCATCCTTTTCGCTCCCCGTCTCTCCCTGCGCGGCTGCGTGGTTGCATCGTGACCATGTTCGGGGTGCTTTTCCCCAATCGCAGCTTCCCCTTGGACGTGTCTCGTTTTAAGCAGGTCGATACCTTCCACTGGGTCCTCGAGATGAACATGTTCGTAGGTAAGCCCGCGCTCACTGCCACTTACCCACTTAGGTAAGCCTTTCAGTAGGCAGCCCCGCAGTTCAAAGCCCGTTTCCTTCTCACCTACGCTGGTTCATTTACTAGGTAGCCTTGCAGGTAGACTTTCCCCTGATCAGCATCTCCTGCCTCCACGTGTCACCGCGCGTCGCAGGCGACGCGTACGACCAGGTGAAGGAGATCTGCATCTTCCTCCTCACCGAGGCCGCATTGCCGCCCGACCGAGCCCTCGCCGTCTACGTCCAGTCGCCCGGCTCGCAGTTCGAATACCGCGGAGCCGTCCACGTCGGATGTCCGTCAGCCGTCCTGCCGCTCCTCTGGCCGGCCGCCGCCATTCCTACCGGCGCTGTCCTGCCACCGGGCGGCGTCCCTCCGACAGCGCAGATCGGCATTTCAGTGGAGCCCCTCGCTTCGCTACCGTTGCAGAACGTCGGGTGGCAGAAGCGGGTGGAGGAGATGGCGCTTAAAGTGGGGCAGAACCTGTTTAACTACATGCAGTCGTTTAGTACAGTGCAGGGTAGCATGCTGCTAGTACCCTCGGATATTCTGGACCGGTGGTTCAAGAAGTTTCAGGATAAAGCCAAAGTTGATCCGGATTTCCTCAACCGCTTCAATGTATAGCCTGGCCTGCATTCTTGGAGCATCTGTCAAACATGTGTATCTCTTATAGTTTGCATAGACTGTATAGGGTCATCTCTTAGAGGGTACAACACTTAGATATATTCCCTGTATTCTCTCTCTCTAGTCATTCATTCAGTTTGTGAGATGGTATCAGCAGTAGGTAGGTCCCGCTCACCCACGCTTCCGCTCTAGGACCTACGCTCCCTAGTCGCGCCCACCCTAGTCGTGCCCGCCCTAGCCACGCCCGTCCTAGTCGCGCCCTGCGCGCCACCTCCCCTCGGCCCTAGCGCCCGTCCTAGCCGGCCCCGCGCCCGCCTTAGCGGCCCCTCGTGCCCGTCCTAGCGGCCCCTCGTGCCCGCCCTAGCGCCCGCCCTAGCGTCCCCCACGCTCGCCCTAGCGGCCCCTCGCCCGTGCCCGCCACTAGCGCCACACCCCAGCGGCCCCTCCTGCCCGCCCTAGCGCCCGCCCTCGCGGCCCCCGCGCTCGCCCTAGCGGCCCCTCGCCCGTGCCCGCCACTAGCGCCACACCCTAGCGACCCCTCGTGCCCGCCCTCGCACCCGACCTCGCGGCCCCCGCGCATGCCCTAGCGGCCCCTCGTGCCCGCCCCAGAGCCTGCCCTAGCGGCTCCCGCGCTACCCTAGCGGCCCCTGCCCTAGTCCTAGTCGGCCCCACGGCCGCCCTCGCGACCTCCGCGCCCTGTCCGCTCGGCCCCTGCGCCCGTCCCAGCCGGCTCGCGCCCGTCCCAGCCGGCCTCGTGTCCGTCCCAGCCGACCCCCGCGCCCTGTCCGCTCGGCCCCTGCGCCCGTTCCAGCCGGCCCGCACGCGTCCCAGCCGGCCCGCGACCGTCCCAGCCGGCCCCACGCCCGTCCCAGCCGGCCCTGCGCCCGCCCCGTCGGCCCCGCGGCCGTCCTGCCCCGAGTTGTGTGCGGCCCGCTCGTCGTGCCTGCTCCGGCCCTGCACCCTCCCTGGTACGGTTCCCCCCCCCTCACCTGCACCGCACGATACCGCACTGCACCGCCCTGCACCGCACTGCACCGCCCTGCATCGCACTGCAACGCACTGCACCGCGCTGCGCCGCCTTGCACTGCACTGCCTTGTACCGCACTGTCCAGTCCTGCACTGCTCCTGATGGCGGCGGAGCTTCGCTTCGACGCTGAAGGCCAGCCTCTGGAGTTCGAGGCGTGGCTCGCCGACCTCCGTCGCCACCTCACTGGCCAGCGGCAGGATGGCCACCCGCTTTCCGCACACCTTGACGGTATGCTCCCCTGCCCAGACCCCCTTGCTGTGCTGCCTGCTAACCCCACACCCGCTGAGCGCGAGTCTACTGCAGCCGCTGCCCTTGCGCGCTCTGTTTGGCTTTCCAGAGACGCTGTCGCCCAGCTTGCCATTAGCAATGCCCTTCCCCCGTCTGAGCGCCCTCGCTTTAGGTCCATCCCTACCGCCCAGGCTTTCTTAGATGCTGTCATCAAGCGCTATTCCACCCCTCCTGCTGCCTCGGTGGGTCGCCTGATCCTCCCGATGCTCTTTCCTGATCTTGCGTCTTTCCCCACTGTCGCTGACCTGGCTGCCCACCTGCGCACGATAGATGAGACCTGGCGCGCGGCCTGCACTGACGCGCAGCTTAGAGCCCACCAGCCGCCCATTACCTCTACCCTCTACCTGCTTGCCACCCGCCTCCTTGACCGCCTTGCCGCCGCCCGCGACCGCTTCCTTAGCATCCACCCCGGTGAGCTCACCCTCACCGACCTTGTAGACACCCTGACTGTTATAGAGACCCGCCACCGCTCCATCGCCCAGGCGAGCGGTACTGTGCCGGTCCCTATCTTTTAGGGTTGTGCCCCCGCTCGGTGTACCTTCTCCGACGGTTCTGCCGCTGTGGCTGAGACTGCTGCTGCCGTGCAGTTCCGTCCGGGGAAGGGCCGTCGCCCCAAGGCTGGGCGTGGCGGAGGAGGAGGGGGTGCAGGTGGGGGTGGTGGTGGAGTCGGGTCGTCTGGTGCTGGAGCGGACGAGGGGACCCAACTTGCCCCAGCTGAGCAGCCGCCTCCGCAGTCGCAGCAGCAGCCGCCGCAGCCGCCGCAGGCGAGGCAGGCGAGTGTCCTCCCGCCCGGGTGGCCTGGAGCTGGCGGTGGTCGTGCGCGTGGTGGTGTGCCGGGTGGTGGTTCGGGAGGCGTGCGTTGCCAGTACCAGATCCAGACCGGTCCTCCCCGCGGCTTCGTTTGTGGTAAGACCGGTCATACCACTCCTCGCTGCTTTCGTCGCCTAGACGACCTGTTTCGTCAGCGCTTCGGCCCGTCGCCAGTTGCTTCCTCCCGTCGCCAGCGCTTCGAACCTCCCGGACTGGCACAGTTTGCTTAGTCGTAGTATTCCGATTTTTGACTTGGACATGGATGCCATTGTTTCTGCTCTGCTGTGATGTATGCTGATGACTCTAGTGTGCTTCCCGCTTATTAATCATTGTCGTCTAGTGTAGGTGTGCCTAGCTTAGCCTCCCCTGCTGCGCCAGGCGTAGGAGCCCCTGTTTTGTTTAGCCTTGGTGCCTCCGCCGTCGCCCCGTCGCCGGACGCCACTGCTTCGCTTTCCTTCACCTTGGACTCTGGTGCTTCCCGGTGCTTCTTCCGAGACTTCACTACCCTGACGCCGCTTCTCGTTCCTGCTGCTATTTCTCTTGCTGACCCCTCCGGCAGTCCGGTAGTCGCCCGCAGTTCCACCACCCTTCCCTGTCCGGCGGTTCCTTCGGGCTCTCTCACAGGTCTGCATATCCCCTCGTTCTCCAGGAACCTAGTTGGTGTCGGCTGCCTCCAGGACCTTGGCGTCACCACTATGTTCCCTGGGCACGAGCGGTATGCTGTCTGTACCGAGGCCGCCACTGGTGCCCCCCTGTCCACGTTCCCCCGGGACCCGGTGTCCGGCCTGTTCACCCTGGACACCGTGACCCCCCCGGCTGGAGCGCCCCTTCAGGTGGCTGCGTCTACCGAGGTTGCTGCTGCCTGCTCCTGTCGGTCCCTCACTCACCCGACTCTTCCTTGGCACCACCGCATAGGTCACCCTGCACTCCCGCGTCTGCGTCACATGTCCCAGCACGGTCTCGTCCTTGGTCTCCCTGGTTCCCTCCCCGCTTTTCCCTCCTCCCCCGCCCCGCCTTGCACTCCTTGCGTCGAGGGTCGGCTTCTTTCTCGTGCTTGTCGACGACTTCACTCGCTACACCAAAGTCTTTCAACTGGAGCGGAAGGCCGACGTGCCTGACGCTCTCATCCTCTGGCTTGTCTCTGCGCGTGTCCACCGAGGTCTCCCTGTCTTGCGCCTTCACTCAGACCGTGGTGGCGAGTTTGCCTCAGGTGTCCTTGGTCACTTCTGTCGTACATAGGGCATCACCCAGACGTTCACCCTGCCGGACTCCCCACAGCAAAATGGGGTCGCTGAGCGACGCATCGGCTTGGTTATGGAGGTTGCTCGCACCTCCATGATCCATGCCGGTGCACCCCATTTTCTGTGGCCGTTCGCCGTGCGCTACGCCTCTCACCAGCTTAACCTGTGGCCGCACCCCCAACGGCCGCAGGTTTCGCAGACCCGTCTTTGGACCGGGTCTCCTAGTGATGCGTCTGCGTTCCACGTCTGGGGCTGCCTTGCTCACGTTCGTGCCTCCGGCACTGACAAGCTCACTGCCCGCACCCTTCCCTGCGTCTTCCTAGGTTTTCCCCTTGACGCGTCCGACTGGCACTTCTACCACCCGCCGTCTCACCGCTTCTTTCTCGCGACGTCACCTTTGACGAGTCCGTCTCCTTCTACTATCGCTTCCCCCACCGCGGGCCCCCGGTTACCCCCCCCCTGTTCCTGGTCCCTCCTTCCTCGGTGGTCCCTACCCCTCCCCCTCCCCCTCCCCGTCCTGCCCCCTCTGGTGTGTCCCACATCACCCCTCTCCCGTCGGTTGTCCCGGTTGAGGAGTCTTCTGACTCTGGTGGTCCTGCGGCGCAGTCCTCGCCGTCTGCCCCTCCCCCGGCGTCTCCTCTTCCACCGCCTCTGCAGCCACCGTCGCCTCTGCTGTCGCCGCCGCCGTCCCCGCAGCCGCCGCCGCCGTCCCCGCAGCCGCCGCCGCCGTCGCAGCAGCTGTTCGTTGCCCCTGGGGATGCCGGCGTTGGAGTGGGTTCTAGCCCCGGTGGCCCTGGGGGTGGTGCCGGTACTCGAGGAGTTTCGGGCCCTGGGGATGTTCCTTCTAGGGGTGCTGGTGTGGAGTCTGTCGGTGGTGGCCGCGGAGCGGCTTGCGGTCCCGGTGTCGGCGTTGTGCCACTGCAGCAGCAGTCCCCGCCGGTGTCTGCCCTTCGCCTGCTCGGCGTTGTCCCCTGACCCTGCGTCCGTTCCTCTCCTCCCGTCTTCTCCTCTCCCCGTGTACGGCCCTGTGTTCCCTCCGCCAGACTCGTCCCTGGCTCGTCTTCCCCCTCACTCTCCCCTTGTGTCCCCTCCTTTGTCTCCCGACCTGACTCCTGCGTCTCACGTCTGGTCTCACCGTCCCTCCCGTGCTCGTCCTGTCTCCCCTGTCACCCGCTCTCACCCTATGTTGCTACGTTACCACGCGTCTCGTCCTCCCCTTCTCCCGTCCCCTCCTCCGCCCTCCCTTGTCGTTGCTCCCCCCCCTCTGTCTGACTACTTTCGTGCCGCTAGTCCTCTCGTTCCTCGCGTCCTTGCCTCTCTCGTTACCGACCCGTCTGTTCCGGTTTTGTGCCTTGACGCTCTTGTCGCTGCGGTCGCAGAGTTCGCCTCTACCCGCCGCCTTGACTACGCCACCGCTCTGGTCTCTGACCCTGCCTATCCTCCGTCTGTCGGGGGTGCTCCTGCCCTCGACAGTGACGTCCTGGAGGACCGCCATTTTGAGCTTGCTTTCCTGTCCGAGGCTGCTCCCCATCTTTGCTCCATGCTGCTAGTCCCTGAGGGTGACCCAGACGCTTTCGACATCCCGACCCCTCGCACTTACGCTGAGGCGACCTCGGGACCCTAGGCCTCCCAGTTGATAGCTGCCATGGAGCAGGAGATGGCATCTTGGAGATCCACCGGCACCTTCGTCGACGCAGTTC